TCGCTCGTCACGCCGAAGACCCGGGTTCGATTCCCGACATGGGTACAATGTGTGAAGCCCATTTCTGGTGTCCCAGATATTGCTGGAATATTGCTAAAAGCGGCGTAAAACCAAACTCACTCACTCACTCCGTGACAACACAGTGTACCCATGAGGGGAATCGAATCATGGATTTTAGGCGCGACGAGCCGATGATTTAAGCACGAGGTTACCCTGTCTGTGAATATGAACGTGCTTTGAGGGTCGTCCATGTTGTATTCGTACGGGGGTGAATCGAAAAGATGCCTGACAGATAGTGATTTGTGTTATGTAAGGTTTAAACACTTGTGTGGAGAATATCATCTCTTGGACGACATGACTCCACGTTGCTGACCGATAATTGCATCTATTTTCGAAAAGAGTAATTGACAGGGGTGAGTGAAAAAACTCCCGTTTCAGTGTGTTTGGTTATGTAAGAACTTCGAAAGTAGAGAATACGGACATTACATAGAAAGTGAGTAAGTATGGTTTCACGCAGCTTTTAGCAATATTCCAGCAATATCAAGGCGGGGGACACCAGAAATGAGCTCCCTGAGTAGGGAATCGAACCCGGGCCTTCGGCGTTACGAGCGAAGGCTTTAATGACTAGGCCACCCCATCATTCCCTATGACGTGAAAAGTTGACTGTCCCTTGTATTCAACTAATATGAAATTGACTGCTGAAATGAGTGAGTGAGTTTAACGCGGCTTTTAACAATGTTCCAGTTATATCAAGGCGTGTCAGCTTAATGTGGGAGGAAAGCCCGAAGTGATGCAGGTCTCAGACGTTTAACACTTCGGTGAAACCCACGAGCACGGGTATAGTGCTGACAAACCTAGAAACATAATCGTGGCGAACCTGGATTCAAACCAACAATCATAGGTTCTGGCGTGCCCAAGGGACGTTACTCTGCACAGCGAATTGTGGCGCCTAAGCCACCCTTAGACGACTGGGCCACCCGTGCCCCCACAGCTGAAATGAAGCAGAAGGGACACTGAAGATTACCCTACGACTGAAAGTGAAGTGGAGACAGTTCACCACATTGTTATGGCTGAACGATGTTTTTCAATTCAGCAGGTGAGACCCGTGGAGATCCGGGTCTAAAAGAAGATCGATCACTCAGTACTTGTCTGGATAGGCGACTTAATCGATGAATGATCATTGCGTGGCGTAAGCGGCGACTGAAAAGGATCGGGTTGTAAGTGCTTGATGTAAGAAGCGATCAATATGGTGGTCAGTGGTAGTCGTAGAGAGCGACTAAAATGGATCGATTATTTAGGGCTTATCGTAAGTGGCGACTAAAATGGATCTAGTATTTAGTGCTTGTCGTAGAGGGCGACTAGTTTGGGTTGTAAGTACTTGTCTCAAGACGCGATTAAAATGGATCGGGTTGTAACTGTTTGTCTCAACTGACAACTAAAATGGATCGGGTGGCCAGGCTCGATGACGTGGTTGATTATGGGTCATCGACGTTAAACAGATTCGACCTCTCACTAACTCGGAAGTTACCCCTGGTGAATGTACACATTTCCTGCTTATTGTCCAATACTGCATATTAAGGAAGGAATTGCACGGATACGTTGTGTTAAAGCATCCTCGATTATCTGTTGTATTATCTCCAATTTATTACGATAAATATAATTTATCACAATAGAATGGATATATTATAACCTGAGTAACCAAGGATGGGTTTAGAGTAAACTAGCGAGACACGTTTTGCGAATGGTTGGCACCATTGGTGAATCGCTGGCGTTGGGAAAACGTTGACATCAAGTTGTAATCACAAGAATCAAGACTGGTTGGTGATGTAACGCTGGACAACGTACATGCTGCATTGCATTGAGGTTTAATAGTAATTAAGTGTCTAAATCTCTTGAATAACAATGACGTGGTGACAATGGGCCTGATGTGGATTGTTGCTCGTGTTTACAGGTAGTTTTGCTGTGAAGATCCGGGTTACAATTGGTCTTCAGCAACTTATGAAGATCCTGGTTGTCTCTCCCCACCCCTATCCCCGATGAAGATCCGGGGTACAATTGGTTTTCAGCAACTCCCGCTTGTCTCCGTCGATGAAGATCCGGGTTAGAATAGTTTTTCAGCAACTCATATTTGTCTCTCCCCACCCCAATCCTCCGATGAAGATCCGTGTTAGATTCGGTCTTCAGCAACTCATGCTTGTCTCTCCACCCCAGATGAAGATCCGGGTTAAAATTGGTCTTCAGCAACTCATGCTTGTCTCCTCCCCCCCCCCCCCCCCCCCCACACACACACACACACACCCCACCCGATAAAGATCCGGGTTACAATTGGTCTTCAGCAGCTCATGCTTGTCTCTCTCAACCCCATCCCCCGATGAAGATCCGTGTTTGATTTGGTCTTCAGCAACTCATACTTGCCGAATAAGGCGAATAACAGGATGACGTGGTGAGGCACGCTGACTAGGTATCCCACGTCATTGTATCCCAGTTGCGTAGATCGATGCTCATGATATCAATCACTGGATTGTCCATACAGTTGGAATATTGCTTAGTGCAGCGTTAAACACCACACCAAACAAACTGGCTTGCCTGTCCCAGGTAGTTGGATTCATTGCTGACTGGCGTAAAACAACATCCGACTAATGTATTCGGGAATGGAGACAACACCGGACTGTTTACCAATGCAGTTTTATTCTTAAGGCAGTATCAGCATACACATTAGGCTTTCTGAATATACACAAGCATGTCACATCAAACGCATCATAAAGGTACGGTGGCCCGTAAGGGACAGGGAGTCTGTTTTTCAATACTTTGATATTTCACTTACTTTTATCGTAACCTTTTGCAAATTAACACAATTTGTCATACAAATATGTGATAAATCATGTATAAAAACAACCGAAAACATGGCAAATGTACTTTCAAGTAGCTATTGAATCGCTGAAAGGTGAAGCGAAAATGTCAAAAACTAAAATGGAAATGTCCAAAACAAAAACGAAAATGTCAAAAACTAAAATGAAAATATCAAAAACAAAAACGAAAATGTCAAAAACCATAGCGAAAATGTCAAAAATTAAAATGAAATTACAGAAAAGTATTTCGATAACATTATCACTCACCGCGGTGGAAATACGTTTCCGTATTTTCATTTTAGTTTTTGACATTTTCGCTTCACTTTTCAGCGATTCAATATCTACTTTATACATGATTTATCACATATTTGTATGACAAATCGTGTTAATTTGCAAAAGGTTACGATAACAGCAAGTGAAATATCAAGATATTGAAAACGAACTCCATGTCCCTTATGGGCCACCGTTTAAAGGTATAGTTACTAAGCTCTTTCATTAACTGGGATTTATTTCCAACTCACAAATCTCACAACATTCGATCCACACCGGAGCAATGGCAACACGATAAGAAAAGACATTAAAGGCACGAGAAACCAATTCATTCATGATTATTTTTTCAAGTATCCTCACTTGTATAAATTTAACTTACTAATGAAGACTAAAAATACTAATATAAAAATGTGTCTGTGTTCATTTTCCATGCCATGAAACTTAGAAAGCATGAACTTATTCAATGACTTGATATAACATAGCAGTTGCCATGGCTACTTATGTATATTCTATTGTATAAATGTACCCGCAACTACTTTGTATATATGTACTATAGGTCTATGGCCTTTTCAATATTTAGAAATAAAGATTGATTGATTGATTGATTGACAGCCATCAGTATCCCCCGCCGTCCTTGCATGCTAACAATAGTAAATGATTGATCTTAAATCTCACTAAAACCAGATACTTTACTCCAATACGATACCTCAGTGCGTGAAGATCGGGGGACACGCCCACAGGCTATTGTTGACAGTGAATAATAAATGAGAGTTTTCAAGACAAATAACTAAAAATAATGGCATTATTTTCACACAGGTGCAATTATTAAACTGTGAAATCACTGAATAAAATTATTATTCAAACATAGTCCCTTATAAACAACTTAGGAAACAATTTTTCAATAACAGTCAATAACATCAGAAGTGTTAGCAAATCGTTTATTAAATAAAAGTTTATTCATTTATGAAACTGTTTTGATATGATATTGCTAATTATTCACTGCATTATGGATTTGAAATGACAAGGGTCGATTCTCATGTGTAATCCGAGAACAAGATGTCAATAATGGGCAGGACCTCCTCTACGACGGATTCGTCGCCTCCACTCTCCTACCCAGAGTTCCATGCGGCCGGCAGCCAGCTAGCATAGTACCTCTGCCACAGGCCAGCGCCATGTGACGATTCGTCACATCTTTCACAGTCCATTCAAGATATTGCATATGCTTTTCATCCGTTTCATGTTTGACAAGTCTACACATTTTCATAAGCAAATGTCATAGAATGGTTAACTTTCATTGAGAAAGTATGCAAATACGTAAAAATCTACTTGTTTTTGCGTAGTTATCCTATGTTTACATTGGTTGTACGGCTCCACGTGCTGTCATCGAAGCGCAACGGAGAGCTAGCGACACGGTCACTTTGATGCATAAATATATATTGTCATGCAACTCACTGTCGCAGTTGTAGTAGCATATCTATATAGTTATGCAAAACAATATGTAAAGCGCCCCCCAATACTTGCATTAGTCCGTTCTATACTGATTTCTGAAAAAGCGCGTTTGTTTACAAACAAGAGAAAAGTCCGGTCACGTGATATGCAAATTAGCCTGTGGCAGTGGTGTTATGCTGAGTCACCACTGCGACGGAGTGTGCGTCGCCTCCTCTGTGGGACGAGGTGAAATGGGGTTAACGTCGCGTCCAAAATGATTGCACTTATATAGCGACGTGCGTGCACGTGTGTGTGGCTGCTTGCACTAGTCCGGACTTATGCCGATTTTATAGTGTTAGCCCACTGAGATACCATGCCGCAGTTTAACATGAATACCTCACTCAGACACAGTATACTGACTCCGAGCCGACCAGTCCTTGTTTAGACCCATAATGCCGTGCGCCAGACAGGGTAACAAGTACCATCTTTTAGTATGACGCGGCCGGGGATCGAACCCCGGACCTTCCGCTCCCCTGGCGGACGCTCTACCACTAGACCACAGAGGCGGTCTGTTATTAAACAGTCAGTGAAAGGATTCCAATGCGTCAACATTCTATATCGCTATTTTCAGTGGTCTCACAAGCTTCGTGTAAAATCACGTGGATTGTTCTATTAAGGTTATCAACCGTTGCACATCCAACGGCAATGAATCGGCACCCAGAGGGTTAAAGCTTGCCAAATTCGGGCAATTTGACGTTCAGTCAACTAGCTTCTCAGGAACCATGCCTGTTCTGTACGAAATGTGTTCACGGATGTGCTTTGTAATACTAAAAATATGATAAAAATAAAATACAGCTATCAACATTGTTGGTTTCAAGGGTTCGGCGTTCCCATACTTTTGTGAATTAGTATACATAATCTTATACTATTATAGGCTCCTCAAAATGAAAAAAAGATGTCATTAACTAAAGTCACGTCCGGAAACCATGGTAACAGATCAATCACCATGACCTGGCGTCAGTTTCCAATCTGCGTCAGTGTAGTTTGTGCACGTTACGGTCAGGTGGCACCACAGGCTATTTGTTAGTGTTATGGTTAGCTAGGGTGTGGAATGTTGGCGATTGGCAACCATACTGGTAATAATAAAAGACGTACAAAACAACAAATACAACAATTAGCGTAGATACATTGTGCTAGCCTCAATACACTCGGTGGATGCTCAAACATTTTTACCCTGGTTAATGGATCAGTGTGCACAAGATTTTCATTCTCAGCTCCCTGGGGAGTATACAACCCCAGCTGCCTTGTCAGGCGCTTGAAGGTTAACGGTCACATTACCATCTCATCATACCGGGGCACCCATTTTACTGCTGGATGAATAGAGTCATATTTTCAATAACGTCACCTGGCTAAGGAGATGCGTGCTTCAGTGTGGGGCAGGACCGAGGCCCTGGAAACTGGCAGGAGTCAAGCTGCCGAAACGCGGTCACCCACCCAACTATTCTCCGCCACCGACGTTGCTTAACCTCACTGATTTGGGAGGGCTAATTTATCTTGGAGTTTGTCTGATCCAGAATCGATTATTTCCAGGCCATCCATTCATTGTGATTTAAGTCGATCGTGACCTTGAGTGAAATGTATAATGTGTCCAAGGTATATTGAGTTACGAAGTCTGTATTTGCTTAATTACTCCCTCGGGTTTTCAAATGTATTCAATTAATGCAATTTCTGTCTCAGAAATGTCATTTTTCGATTGGAAAAGTGTGTGTACCACATTATGAATGCATTATGATGATCTAGATACATAAATATTTGTAATTATGTTTACACTCCGGCAACTGTAAGTGGGATGGGTGGGTTTAGTGAAGGAGCAAGTCTGAATTGTTAAACCGCGCATTGTGCGCTTGGATCTATATTGTATTACCATCTCCATCTGGCTTCAGGCACAAAACTAAACTTGGACCTGACACGTATAAACACTGATTTGGACGACGCAGTTAAACAACATTCGCCAACTCACTGCTCTGAGAAGCTTCATTACCTCGCTGACTCGGTTGATGCATGTCATCGTATCCCAAATACGTGGATCGCTGCTCATGATGTCAATGACTGGATTGTCTGGTCCAGTTTCGATTATTTACAGACCGCCGCCATATGGCTGGAATATTGCTGCGTTAAACAACAAACAAACAAACAAACACAAGAAGCTTCATTATCCCTAAAAAAAGTGCAATTGCTACGGCAGCATATAACATTTAAAGCATCACCTTCAACAGAAAGAAACGTAATTCCTAACTACAGCAACAAAACCTTCACCAGAAACGCCAACAGCACGACGTAGAAACAAATCAATGCGGCGGATGTCCAGTAGGTGCCGCTGACAAGCCCAACCGGAAGTGGCCTCGTTTGGAATGGCTTCCTAACTCGATCCATTGTCTTCTCACAGGCTTCCTTGGCCCCCGCCCATTTGCCCGGCCCCTGAAGGCGATACTGGAAGGGGGTGCACGGGCCGAAGAAACACCTCACAGCGAACCCCGGGTCGGTTAGTAGGTACCGCCCTGGAAACGAATTGATCAAAACGGACAAAGATTACTACACGTGTCGGTGTCACTCTACTTACGAAACGAGGGTATTTCATTGAAATAGTTAAAAGCGGGGTTGTAAAAACGCCCCACGAAGCACACTTGTAAAATGATTTCACGCGCCGTATGGCATTAGTGACGTCATAGTTACTTTTTTAATTGTTAACGTCATATGATGCTAACATACTAACAGTGCGCTTTTTTACAGTTATTACGTGAAGATCCAGGGTAGAATAGGTCTTCAGCAACCCATGCTTGCCGTAAAAGGCGACTGTGCTTGTCGTAAGAGGCGACTAACAGGATCGGGTGGCCAGGCTCGCTGACTTGGTTGATGCATGTCATCTATCCCAATTGCGTGGATCGATGCTCATGTTGTCAGTCACTGGATTGTCTGGTCCAGACTCGGTTACTTACAGACCGCCGTCATATAGCTAAAATATTTCCGAGTGCGGCGATAAACAACAAACAAACAAACAAACAAACAATATATCACCGATAACGGTAAAAGCAAGATGACGTCACAATGCTTCATTTTTGAGAACCGTATCAAAAGGCGTCATGAGTTTTTGATGACAAATAACGTCATTTGAACAGTAGTGTTTCATGGTGTGTGTGTGAGTGTGTGTGTGTGTGTGTGCGCGTGTGCGTGCGTGTGCGCGTCTTAACCCCATAGCCCCTGGGCGGGTACATGGAAGGGAGGTCAGGATCGGTAACATGGCTGACTGCGTCTCATCGTACCCCGACGACATGGACCCTTGCTCATAATATTAACCATTGGCTTGCTGGGCCCCGACTCGTATACCTGCAGGTCACCGTACTCTAGCTACAATCTCATTAAAATCAGATCTGAGTTCTTGCTGCCGCTAAACCAAGATCTGAGGACTTCCCATTACGGGTCACGTCAGAACGACCTTTCGCGAATTTTAACCGACCAATGAAATGACTAACAGGAAGTTGACATCAGCCAATTAGAAAGCAACTTTCTGGAGCTTTACGGCACTCGTTTCAACCTGGCGACTTCCATTTCAGACCACGCTTGAAAAATATGTTGACAAAGTTCTCGATTACAATTTTGAAAACTGAAAAAACGAACATTCCAAAATGTCTGATATATGGTTGAGATTGTATAGCAGCGCTTCCCACGTACTGTGCAATGCCCCCTCCGTTCAAATGTTTATCCCGCGGAAGTGCGAGACAGACGATAATGTTGACGGAATCAGTCGTATGAGCCGTAACTGTCGTTCGAAAAACCCCGTGTTAACCTTTCCGAGGTTGCATGATTAGAAAACACATTCCGACTGTCACTTTCATGATCTGGTAAGCGACGCTTTGATTGGTCGGATGAAAGGCCGTTCTGACGTGACCCGTAATCGTATGTCCTCAGATTACTTAGCGATAGCGAGAACTAAGTTCTGATTTGAATGAGATTGACTCTAGCTATAGGTTGACGATTGTAGAATGCAGCGTAAAATAACAAACAAACAAAACATAGGACTACTTACACAGGTTAGGCTTGCATCCAACCAGGTTCCCTATCTGATCCATGAAGTCGACGAAGTCCACCTGGATGGTGTGTCGGGGGGAGTTGACGTAGCGCTGCGTCAACGCGGCCTGCTTCGCCCGGATGTTGCTCCACATCTTGTCTCTGGGTGGCAGCTTTATCAGGCCCTGTTGGGGGAACGAGTACACAGGGAAACTTGAACAGCGTCTTTTACAAGTTCTGACCATTCAAATCCACATAAACCGCCGGGCAAAAGAAAGTATACTCATTTTATTTGACCAAAACATTACGGGGCGGTCGCGTAGCATAGTGTAAAAGCGTTCGCTCGTCAACCTAAGATCCGGGTTCGATTCCCGACATGGGTGCTATGTGTGAAGCCCATTTCTGGTGTCCCCCGCCGTGCTATTGATGGAATCCTGCTAAAAGCGGCGTAAAACTATACTCACTCACTCACTCACATAGAAATTACACACGTTATTAAAACATTACGAGGTTGAAAACTCACCGAAATACTACAAATTTGAGGTACAAAACACAACTATATGATACCCGTATTAGATACATCACCATCGACAAATCATCTCATTTTTGCTTCATTTTCAGCCACCAAAAATTTGGTGTATAATTTTATTTGCCTGAAAGTTACGTCCGACACAACGTAACAATATTCTGTTGAAACATCGACTGACAGGGATATATTATAGATAACAGGTATAAAAAGCTTCCCCGAATACAAAGTGTATTATTTCTCCATTTTATAAGTTATAAAAATCAAATGAAGATATATAATAAATAGGATAATCGAGAATGTATAAAAATATGCTTCAGTCATCTGCCAATTATCAGACAAGTGGGGCTTCATACGATAGGAACCCGTGAAGATCCGGGGTAGAATAGGTCTTCCGCAACCCATGCTTGCCGTAAAAGGAGACTATGCTTGTCGTAGGACGCGACTAAAGGGATCGGGTGGTCAGACTCGCTGACTTGGTTGATGCATGTCATCGTTTACCAGTTGCTTGGATCAATGCTCATGATGTCAATCACTGGATTGTCTGGTCCAGACTCGATTATTTACAGACCGCGGTCATATAGCTGGAATATTGCTGAGTGTGGCGTTAAACAACAAACAACAACAACAACAACAATTCAAACGATATGTAGCCATTTTCATGACAACAACAACAACGTGTCCAGCTCTTGTCGTGTAACTGATGCCGCAAGGCTAAGGCTTGCTGTCTAAAGTTTTCCAGATTCCCCTGACCGGGATATAAAGTGGAAAAATGCAAAAGACAAGACAAGCTTATCCAAGGACAACCTATTAAGATAACGACATTCCTGGACCAAATTCCAGGCTCACTTGTTTGGCTCAGATCTGGTTCGCAGCTGAAGCTGAAAAATATATTATTTCGATACAAAACCCAAGCGTCCAGAGATATGTTTGCACAATGGCGACCGCCTCCGTGGTCTAGTGGTAGAGCGTCCGCCCGGAGAGCGGAAGGTTGGGGTTCGATCCCCGGTCGCGTCATACCAAAAGATGTTAAAAGATGGTACTTGTTGTTACCCTGTCTGGTGCTCAGCATTAAGGGGCTAAAACAAGGACTGGTCGGCTCGGAGTTTGTATACTGTGTCTGAGTGGGGTATTCATGTTAAACTGCGGCATGGTATCTCAGTGCTGTATAAATCGACATCAGTCCTTGTCTTTCTGAACTGTACTGAAAGTACACGGTGGAGGATCTGACTGATGGCTATAGTTAACCTGAAGCCATTTACCGCTTTAGTGAGCATGGGTATGGTACTGACAGGCGTGGATCATACATAATCCAGCCGGGGTTTTCATCCTCCCGAGGGGGCGGTCGGGTAGCCTAGTGGTTAAAGCGTTCGCTCGTCACGCCGAAGACCCGGGTTCGATTCCCGACATGGGTACAATGTGTGAAGCCCATTTTCTGGTGTCCCCCGCCGTGATATTGCTGGAATATTGCTAAAAGCGGCGTAAAACCATACTCACTCACTCACTCATCCTCCCGAGGCAAGGGAGTTAACTGACTATAAAAGTCCAGTTTCCACCCTTGCCAAACTAGGCTGGTATTATGGTCATTTATGGAGTTACATTTTGGCTGGACTGACAAGTCTATGCATACCGACGATGTGGATCGTTGCTCGCAATATCGATCACTGGATTCTCTGGTTTAGATTCGGTTCTTCACAGGTCGCTGTCATGCAGCTGGAATATTGCTGTGTGTGGCGTTACACAACAAACAAACAAATAAACAGAAACATTCATAATCAGGGCGAACCGGGCGCCGTCGCCATCAGCCTGGCTCCCTGAATATGCTACACCGACACCGAACTGCCGGGAATCATACACAGCCTCATTTCAATTGTTGGCCAAGATATATAACAAATCATTTGGGGACATTTGTTAAAAAATAACAATTAATTGACTAATTTTGGCAAAACAAATGCATATTATTTCTAAGCATTATTTTAAATGCACCCCACCCTCCTTTTTGTTAGAAGCCAGACACGCGTCTTTTAAAAAAAGCTGTATCCCCGCTGATGTATAAGTTTGGCCCGACCACTAAAATATCATTTGAAAACAGGGGCGGTCGGGTAGCCTAGTGGGTAAAGCGTCCTCTCGTCACCCTGAAGACCCGGGTTCGATTTCCGACATGGGTACAATGTGTGAAGCCCATTTCTGGTGTCCCCCGCCGTGATATTGCTGGAATATTGCTAAAAGCGGCCTAAAACCATACTCATTCACTCATTTGAAAACAAACTCAATGCACACTGCTTTTCTCCTGTACTTACTTCTAAAACAAACCCCTTAACCCATACCCGTACTGTGAAAAATTACCAAATATATAATGTTTACCTTGAAGACTCTTGTTGCTAGGCGACACTGCAGTTCTGATATTGGCATTACGGCACCCAATGGTTGAATGCAGCCAATGATGGCCAGGGTATGGATCTTTCGATCAGGTGGGAACATATACTGGTACAGATCAACCTTATTGTTCTTGACGTCAACCACAGACTTGTCAATGAAGGGAAACCCAAATTTGTAACCCGTTGCCAGGACGACAAGGTCAATATTGTTCTCACAGGTCCCATCCGTGAACTCGACTCCTGTTTTCGTGAGTTTCCTAATGTCGCCTTTGATGACGATTCTTCCGGTGGATATGTTCATTGGGAGATCGCTGCTCATGTTAGGGTGTTGAGCATTAAACCTGTGTGTGGGCTGGAGGCAATACAGCTTGTGGTCGTACATCTTGTTCAGTTCATCTTCCACCAGTCCGGTCGATATTGAGGCTGGGAGGGTCCGGTCCAGCCAGTTGTACATCCGGGTGGTTCTGGCGATGTCAAACGGAAGTCCGTTGTCCATGTTTCTCGGGATAAGCCATGTGCCCCGACGGGTGCTTATAAAAGTCTGAAACATAACATCAATATCCGAATATAGGTATATACACAGAGGACGGGAGGGGATGGTGGAAGAGGGGGGGGGGGGGGGGGGGGGGGGAGTAAAAGGCATATTGGTAAATCTAATATGCATATAATTATATTGATTCTAAATTCGGTTTTGCAGCAAATGCTCTGTGTTGATGTTGGTCAATGGTCGGAGGGGAAGAATACCTTATATCATCTATCATAAACAGACGCCAATAGACACAGGGTCTCAAATAGGCTTCGGGTCCAAAACAATTCGGAAGGACAATAAAACCTGAACTACATTTGAAATAATTCATATAATAAATAACTTGTTTTTTCTTAGATAGTTAAAGTCTTAGAGACGCAGGGTTGACATGAAAGAAAAAAAACGTCAACAAAGTTGCTGCGAATTTTATCGAAAGAAAATGCTTTTCAGAAATTATGTTTTTGCTGAAAAAAAATAAATTGTCCGCCACTAAAATTTGATTCTTGCAATGTGTTTTCTTTAAAAATAATTCAAGCTCATATTTGTAAATAAAACATATATTTTTGTAGCTGTAGCCACAGTAGTTATCTTATTCAAATATACGTAAGTACAATAACACCCCGTAAGTCGTCGGGAAAGCATGACTACTTAATCCGAAAAATTGTTATTCCGGACAGTTTCACTTAAACAGTGCCGTCCTGAGTAACGGGGTTTCACTTTATAGCGATAATAAAACTATTTTGTAATAACATTGTTTTGTAATACTAAAAATACTCACCTTCTTGGCCACACGAGACAAATCATTTGCTGTGTCCACGCCCGAGTTTCCGATTCCGATGACCAATGCTTTCTTGTCCTCCCAACCGACGGCATGCTTGAAGTCTTGTGAATGCATCATTTTACCTTCGTATAACTCCTGCCCGGGGATCTCTGGCACGTTCTTCGTTGCATGATGCCCTGTACACACCAAAACCCCGTCAAACTGCACGTGCTCTTCACTTCCGGTTTTATGATCTCGTATTTTCACGTCCCATTTTCCAGTTGTCTCGAAATTGTCTGCTGGCTTGACAAGCACAGCCTCCCTGTTGTATTGTATGTGTTTGTCGAGGCCGAAGTGCTTCTTGTAGTTCCTCAGATATTCCAGAACCTGCAAAAGGGTAGATTTTGGTTAGAGAGGGACTACGTTCAACGGCCTGTGAACATTTCCTGTCCAGGTTCGGACGTTGTAATTAGTTTGTTTGTTTGTTTGTTGTTTAACGCCGCACTCAGTAATATTCCACCTATATGACGGCGGTCTGTGAATAATCGAGTCTGGACCAGACAATCCAGTGATTGACATCATGAGCATCGATCCACGCACTTGGGGTACGATGGCATCAACCAAGTCAGCGAGCCTGACCACCCGATCCCGTTAGTCGCCTCTTACGACAAGCATAGTCGCCTTTTACGGCAAGCATTGTCACCTTTTACGGCAAGCATGGGCTGCTGAAGACCTATTCTAAATGGATCTTCACGGGTCTGTAATTAGTGGGAGCAAGGGGCATATATATATTAACCCGGTATTTTGTTATTTGCTATCTGACAGAGTTAGTGTTTGTTAGTTTTTTGAGGCCGCTCTCGGCAATATTCTATTCTTGAATATTGCTGAGTGCGGCGTTAAACAACAAACAAACATTCTTCATATTGAAACGAAAGCCGTTATCATACAAGAATTTCATATTCATGGAAATTAAACGTGCTTGCCGTAATTTATATATGGACGCTAGGTGTTAGACGTCTCTGAAATAAATAGACGACCGGGCGTCTATTCATGGACTTACGGTATGTCTATCGGGTGTTTTTATTTACTCCGACATCGTGCTGTAACCAGTGTCCATGAGCTATCTCATGATTGCAGCGGCTTGTCGGCAATTGGGAGATATGTCGAGGTCAGTAACGAGAACAGGGCGTGTTGAATTACGCAAGTCATCGTGATGATAATAATAACGATATCGTAAAACCATTGAGTGTCTCACATACCTATATAAGTGGTGTCGTGAGGTGAGGTGATGAGGTTTAACGTCGCGTTCAAGATTTTGTGCACTTTTGTGGCGACGTGCATGGGCGCGTGGCTGCGTGTTCTAGTCCGGACTAAACCCGATTTTATAGTGCTAACCCACTGTGATATCATGCCGCAGTTTAACATGAATACCTTACTCAGACACAGTATACTGACTCCAAGCCGACCAGTCCTTGTTTTAGCCCCTTAATGCCGAGCGACAGGCAGGGTAACAACAAGTACCATCTTTTAACGTCTTTTTGTATGACGCGGCAAGGGGGGACGCTTTACCACTTTCTCACTCTTTGAATATAGATTCAGGAGCACCTCAATTCAATAAACTCGATCATAGCGAAAGAAAACCACCACAGAACACAAACATACCCTCAATAGTACACCCTTTCGGGTGCAGACGCCATGACGCTCAGAAACCATATGATATATAGTATATCCTCAAAATAGATTAACGCGGCTTTATTCTTTTGCATTCGGAACTCCCTGATTATATTCGTTTTCGAGATATAAATAGCAGATAATTTAATGCTTCGCTCACTCCTTCCGATAATGCATAAACATCAACGCTGATTGTCTGATTAGAAAGTTCACCCGGCGTGGCTCCTTTGGAGGTATCCTCAGATCGTCACGCGGTATAGTAAAAGAATTAAAGATCCGAAAGTTTAAACTTATCTTATCTCACACAATGCTTTTCTCATTTTTCTTTCGACCCTAAGCGGAACCGTGCCTAAACAAAGGTTTCGAGCTTGTAAAAACAAATTCACCGAACACCCTGTCACGGAGCTGTGTAATAATGAAAACGCGGTAATAGGTTCTACTACACCAAATCAGAACCAGTATGGACAGTGCGGTTTTCTAAGGGAGCCTTCAGTGCAGATCGAGAGATATCTGCAGGCTGTGATTGGGGGATATTCTGTAAGATTTTTATGTCTTTCAAATGTACATCCATCCAGATATAAAAACTGACCATGTTTTTCTATATTTAGTACTGTCTTTTTCAACATAATGACTTATGCTGAATGTGACCACAGCTATTTTCAAGGAGGTGACATTTGGTGCGAAACTGGGGGTGGTGCGTTTAGCTTCCTGTACTCGGAAAAGGAGCTGGCTAAGCTGGCCATTTTTTATTTTTTGATTGCTGCTCTAAGGCCAAACTGTGCACACACGTACAGGTAATAGCTGTTGAATGCTTAGTTATATTTAACAAAAATATAACGTTACTATAGAAGTCTGTAGGTTGTGTGTAACCTAATAGGTTCACGGGTTTATTAATAACAGTTAATTTACCTATAGATGATAATAAAGGATCAGATAAACACAATCAGCGCTAACAAGGATAATTGATTAATTACATCAGCGCAAATATATAACCGGTTTAGCATTCGTGACCAACTCGTGTTATTCCGGGACAAGCCGAATAGCGACTCGTGCCCCTCTCATGGCAATTTTTGCGACCGGGTTCCGTCTTAGCGCAAACGGGCATACCTACAACCATTGTCAACTCGTTGGTAATGGTTAACATATATTTTCACATATACTATATATAGTTCAGATGCAATTTATAGCACATCGGGACATGCGGAATTATACAGTATGATTGAACACATTTAACTGTGCCTTGGGTATATTTTAAGATGCAAGACAGATGTAAAATCAAAAATTATTTCTGAGGGATTCTTTGACGAAGAACTTGAAATCATACGTGCATTCTGATTGGTTTGTCGTATTTTCGCACAAAACATTCATCGATAGGGGGACGAGTCTTCTTGCAGGTTACAGAAAGGGGCGAGTGGTGACGGATGCCGGTTTAGCTGAGCAACTGTATCGCAGTAAAACACATAGAAAAGCTGAAAGAACACCTTGACAAGATACCGACCAGATGCTTAGACAGCCAATTAAGTCGGCTTTTAACAATTAACACCTGAGTCAATTAACTCAACACTCGAATGAGTGAATGACCTCGGTTGGGTTAAATAACGGGAAATAAACATAGAAGGCCTATCCCTAAAATAAGACACCGAGACTACAAAAATAGACGAGTGCATCTGAAAATCATACAAGTCAGAACGACTAAAAAATACTAAATTCCCAAATAGCTAGACAATAATGGTTATCAACAGATTAATAGAAAAAACCCTGAGTATTACAAACCCTAGTAACTAAGTTTAGTTCAGTTTAGCCAGATCGAACCATGTCCCCAAAACATTTACTGACCATTTAACGCCCCGGTGACACACATAGCATCATCGTGACCACATCCCATCAATCTGGGTCATGCACTTTTTTTCGGATCGACCTTCACGCGCTGAACACGTGACTTAGCGGATGTGGCTACAAATCAGGATAAAGCTTCTGGATCCTTTCGCCGGCTACGCTTTGTCTCCTCGCTGTGTGTAAGCTGATGAAGGTACTGGTGGCCTAGCGACTTCGGCTCTTGAATTGGATGGTGACATTGCGACCTTGGCTCCTAAACGTTTGTTCCCCTGTTCTTCTGTGGATGAGATCTCCTGCACCTAGACACTACTATTCGTCGAACACTAATCCCTAGTCTCCACTATTCTCTCGGTGACGGGGCTCTCACCTCAGTCTTGGATCACGCATCTTCTCCTGAAGAAGCCTGCATTCGAGGTGCTGTTGGTCTTATCCAGGACATGGTGACAGCCATTTTGGACCTTCTAGCCCATCACACGGGGTCAGCTACTACCCTAAGACGGCGCGGTGTGCTTCAACACTGCTCATGGGATGATCCTTTAAAAATCACCTTTATTAACTGATGTGGTCAACCCCTTCCCTTTTTGCTTGGCACATCCAAGACATCGTGCAGGAAGTTCAACGTGACACTTCCCTCCAAGTTACAGTGTATCTGCGCTGCTTACAAAGAAACCAGCTTTACGAGCAACAGAAGGATCGTAAACGACCTGCCTTCACTCCTACTCAGTGAGACCTCTAGGAGGTTCTTAGTAGCAAATCCAGTTCCTTTAGCAGCTGGGGACGTGGTCGCCAAGGACAACGTGGTGGCAGATCAAGCGGACGTACCGTTTCTCACTCCGGACCTAAATGTAGTGGTAAATCTCCCAGAACAGGAGATACGACCTCCAAGTGGCTCGTTTCTTCTTCAGAAGAACAGGACTCTTCTGCCTCCAGCTGTTCCTGTGGTCCCATCACCTGGCGGCAGAAGATCGGGTCTATTCGCAAATAAGTTGTCCATTCTGGACGATCCGTTTGTTCTGCGTCTTTTCTCCCGTTATCATCTACCCTTCATTGCGACGCCTCCTACGTTGTACAAGCCACTCCAACGCCTACATCCAGAGAAGTAGCTTCCGGTTCTCACAGATGCAATAGGTACGTTACTGGCCAAGAACACCATAGGTTTCTACTCTCCGATATTCCTGGTCCCATTGAAAGACAGCCTTCACATCCGGCTCATTTTCAATAAGTTATAACTAGTGACACCTCCACACTTCCAGATAATGTCAATCGGGTTACTACATATGATTCTTCGCCCCGACGACTTCTAGATCTACAGGACGCGCATTTACTGGTCCCCATCAGGTTCATTCTTCTCTTTAATGGAAGGTGCTGGAATTACTTCGATCCAGTGGATTTGCCAGTTATTTCATATATTGTTTCATTATTTTCACCTTTTATTCCTCCATAAAGAAGAGTACAAAAAAAGCAGAAAATAATAGATGAACATTTAAGAGAACAACATATTATTTTGCATTAAATATGCAGAATGGTTATGCCGATATATTGAGCCAGAGTTAGTTGAACACCATTTTAAACATTGGCTTGACATATTTTACACACACTCTTGCAAAGTCATTAGCATCTTTATCACATTGTCTGTAGCAGTTCTGCACGACAACAGGCATACAGTGAGCTTTGTTGAGTCCATACCATGCAAGTAGCAGCTTAAGTCAACATCATCGATATTGATCAACTCCAACGCTTACGCCTATCCTCCAAGCTGTGTGCTACCTCAGGTCCTGCATCTTTCCGAGGCAAGAGAGTTAACTGACTATAAAAGTCCAGTTTCCACCCTTGCCGAACTAAGCTGGTATTATGGAGTTACATTTTGGCTGGACTAACGAGTCTATGCATAGTCCAATCAAAATCGCGCACCGAAATCGAAATCCGGTTCGTAAACTGTCGTGCAGATTTCGGTCGATTGCAGGTCGTCATGTTAGCTGTTAAGTGTTATAACCTATCTATATATCTTGCAGCGAAGAATTCCGTCAATGCAACTACCAAGGATGCAAAGGTCTCTATGGTTGCTGGGGGCACGGATGGCCCAGTCGTCTAAAGCGTCGCGATTCGCTGTGCAGAGCTGCGTCCCTTGGGCGCACCAGAAACCTATGATTGTGGGTTCCAATCCCGATTCGCCCCGGTTATGTTTCTAGGTTTGTCAGCACCATACCCGTACTCGTGGGTTTCACCAAAGTGGTAAACGTCTGAGACCTGCATCACTTCGGGCTTTCCTCCTACATGAAGCTGACACGCCGTGATATAACTGGAATACTGTTAAAAGTGGTGTTAAACCAAACTCACTCACTCACTCCAACCGTGGGATAAATGCATTGTGTGAGTAAGGATAAGTTTTAAAATTTGTAAATTTTACAATAAATTGTATATTTATAACACTTATCCTATCTCACACGTTATATGCACACCCGTCTAGCCCCGATATCTCAATTCCTCTAGCCTATTAGCTCGAGAAAGAGAACGAGCTGGTTGGGGAAATCAGGTTTTCAGGGCATGTAATTTAAAAAAACGTGCATGACCCAGATTGATGGGAGGTAATTTGGGGGTTAATGTCAAGTTTATCTCTTTTATCCCTTTTGAACTGTTCCCTAACAAAGCGTATGGTTATTGACTGCGTCATAAAACAGCATTCAGTTGATAATCAATGCTCTAAACTGGTGGCCCGTGAAGATCCGGGGTAGAATAGGTCTCCAGCAACTCATGCCTGACGTAAATGGCGACCAGGCTTGTCGTAAGAGGCAACTATCGGGATCGGGTGGCCAGGTTCACTGACTTGGTTGATGCATGTCATCGTATCCTTGGGGGCACGGGTGGCCCAGTCGTCTAAGGCGCCGCGATTAGCTGTGCAGAGTTGCGTCCCTTGGGCACGCCAGAAACCTATGATTGTGGGTTCCAATCCCGGTTCGCCCCAATTATCTTTCTAGGTTTGTCAGCACCATACCCGTGCTCGTGGATTTCACCGAAGTGGTAAACGTCTGAGACCTGCATCACTTCGGGCTTTCCTCCCACATTAAGCTGACACGCCGTGATAAAACTGGAATACTGTTAAAAGCGGCGTTAAACCCAACTCACTCACTCACTCATCGTATCCTTATTGAGTGGATCGATGCTTATGATGTCAATCACTGGATTGTCTGGTCCAGACTTGATCATTTACAGACCGCCGTCATATAGCTGGAATATTGCTGAGTGCGGCGTTAAACAACACACAAACAAAAGCTAAACTGGTTATAGCGCATACCTGAGAGTTGTGGGTAAAGTTTGGGTATTCATCTGGCATAGGGTAGTCACTGTAGGCCATCATTTCCTTGCTGGTGTTGATGATGGTGCTCTTCATGACTGTCCCTTGGTCATCGCGGACCTTCTCCTGGTAATTCCACAAGCCTCCTTCATCGTCTGTGCGCTCCAGACACACAGGGTTCAGACCTTCATCCAGGCAACATTTAATCGCCGTCAGACCACTGGCACCGCAGCCGATCACCAAAATCTTCATTTTCACGATTTATGCTCACGACCGATCACCAGAAGCACAAATCTGCTTATGATTTCGCTATCTGCATATGACCGGGATCTTCAAGCGCTGTAATCACTGATGACTGGGGTAAGTTACAAAGATTTGTACAGACATGTCTACCTATTTTTAGACTTTCAAGTATGTCATCTCAAACCCTGCATTTTGTACAAACGTGAGATCTTTTGCTTGAAATTTATTCAGCAATATTCCAGCCATATGTAGGCAGTCTGTAAATAATATAGACTGGACTAGACCATCTTCCCTTTAAAAGTCCATTTTCCACCCATTGCCGAACTATGCTTGAATTCCTGGGCTCGATCGTAGCGCCACCAGTGGCTATTACGAGTTATGTCCTTTCTATGCCTTTCCTATTGACCAATCAGATTCAAACTCTCGTATCACTTGCATTTGCTTCAAACTAAACGGTGGCGCCCAGTCAAGACGATCTGATCGATAATCAAGATCTATATTGTGATAAAACGAGTCTTACATCGCGAAGTGCATCAAATCACGTGAGCGCCTTGATTAAAAACATAAAAAGATTTAGAAAATATCTGTTGACAACGAGTTAGCGGTGCACATGCTTTTCAAATCCTGCAGTCGACCGAAATCTGCATGACACTTTACGAACCGGATTTCGATTTCGTTGCGCGATTTTGATTGGACTATGCATAGACTCGTTAGTCCAGCCAAAATGTAACTCCATAATACCAGCCTAGTTCGGCAAGGGTGGAAACTGGACTTTTATAGTCAGTTAACTCACTTGCCTCGGGAATTTGGGACCAGACAGTTCAGTGATTGACATCGTAAGCATCGATCCAAGCAGTTGGGATCAACCAAGTCAGCGAGCCTGACCACTCGATCCCTTTAGTCGCCTCTTACGACAAGCATAGTCGCATCTTACGGCAAGCATGGGTTGCTGAAGACCTATTCTACCCCGGATCTTCACGGGTCGGCAAGCATAATCGGAAAAAAGCTATAATCGCAACAGGCGGACTCTGTAAGATGGCATTTCTCTCGTGGGTATTTGAACGAGCTTAGTGCAAACGGAATCAACGAAGATTTGCAATCTAAAAACCCGTTGATTATCACCTTCCGTCATAACTGAAATATTGTTGAAAGTGGGGTCAAACCTACCCCACTCACTTCTGATGTTCTAATACGAACAGAGTGTGTGAGTGAGTTGGGTTTAACGCCGCTTTTAACATTATTCCAGTTATATCACGGCGTGTCAGTTTAATGTGGGAGGAAAGCCCGAAGTGATGCAGGTCTCAGACGTTTACCACTTTGGTGAAACCCACGAGCACGGGTATGCTGCTGACAAACCTAGAAACATAATCGGGGCGAACCGGGATTCGAACCCACAATCATAGGTTTCTGCACAGCGAATCGCGGCGCCTTAGACGACTGGGCCACCCGTAACCCCTAATACGAACACAGGTAACCGAGTATTGTGCGTTTCTCTACATCGTCTATGTTTTTGCTAAACGCCAAACAGGGAGACGTTAAGAAGCGCAGTGTAATGGCGTAGATATGGGTTCGATTCCGACATGAGTGCAATGTGTAGAGACAAATGCTGGTATCCCCTGCTGTGATGCCCATTCATAATATCTACCGCCGTAATAATTCAGGAATATCGCAAAAACCGACGTAGAAACAAACTGACCACCCTCTTCACACGAGATCAAGGTAAACGGGTGTGGCTTCTTGACCATATCCACCTCTCTGTGTGTGGATCAGATGACAGCTGCACAGGAAGTCGCGTCAGGTGAACTTTATAATCAAAAATAAGCTTCATGGCTTCTAAATTCTCGGTACGAGTGAGCGAAGCAATTAGATAAGCATATCTGATTTCTGTATCTTGAAAACGAACTAATACAAGTTCCGAGTGTAGAACACTAATGCCGCCCCATTATGTTGTGGATAGTTTAGCACCCTGTCGCTTCTCACCATCCAAGGAATACAGTAAACTACGTTTATAACGAACACGCTTATAACGAACTGTCGGATATAACGAACTGTTTCTTGGTGCCGTCTTCACACATTGTACCCATGTCGAGTATCGAACCCGGGTCTTCGGCGTGGCGAGCGAACGCTTTAACCACTAGGCACGGGTATAACTGCTAACAGACCAACGATCGTGATCAGAATGAACCAGGGATTCGAACCCGTGGCCAGCGGATCCTGGCACGACACATAGATGAAACTCAATATTTAGAGTTGCAACACAATATCACCGTTTAAGCGTTTAAGAGGAAATACGGTAAATGAACTGAACACTTACTTGATAAAAGTGCTCTGCCATGGTCAGCCTGGTTTGAATTACACGACTGACATGGGCCAGGGCTCCAGATAATATTACCATTGGGTATTCACACTCACAATTTGTAATTCACTTTGGGTATTGATATTTTTTAACTTCCTCTGGTGCGGTCTGAAGGGTATTTTTGAATCAAGGAGTGAAACTTTTTTATAATATACTTCTGCTTCAAATACTGTTTCAGGTGACTTCCAAATTGCATCTGTGCATGTGCTGCCCCAAGTGTGTCAATATCGCATAAACTCACAACAGCGATATTTGTCTCAGTTTCTATAGTTTGTTGTTTAACGCCGCAATATTCCAGCTATATGACGGCGGTCTGTAAATAATCGAGTCTGGACCAGACAATCCAGTGATTGACATCACGAGCATCGATCCACGCAACTGGGATCGATGACATGTATCAACCAAGTCAGCGAGCCTGACCACCGGATCCCGTCAGTCGCCTCTTACGACAAGCATAGTCGCCTTTTACGGCAAGCATGGGATGCTGAAGACCTATTCTACCCCGGATCTTCACGGGTATTTTGTCATGAATAATTGCTGATTAACCCTGTGGGGATTCTGGGTTGGCGTATAGGTGCCCAGTCCCCAGTAACCTTTGCCAGTCGTTTACTGAGGCCAAACATACTGTAACTACTAACCTTGATCAAACATCTTTGAGCAAGAGACCTATGACGATCTTTGAAATCTTCGGGGAAAGAGGATGTTGGATTGCATCTTAAAAGTGGTAGAAATGCAGCTCACAGAACAGTTGTAAAATAAATTATTTTCACGTCAGATGTCCAGAGTGAAACATTCCATTTTTGAATAAGTTAAAAAAAAGAAGCTATCAAGCGTAGTAAATTAATATCACAGGAGTTCAATAAATTTTCAAACGTAATTCTACCTTAATACTATTTCTGTAATAAGGTAAGAACACTATTTCTCAAGTGAATATATTTCGTACATACAAAAGACATGGTATTCATCCTCTACTGAATGAAGGTCATAGTCTTTACACACATGAGGTACATTTAACAATGACCTTTTACGAATAATGTTGACCCGAAAGTTGTGAAGAGATATTTAAAATTTACACATTGCTCTAACTAATCGTTTTTCTCTGTTCTATACTGTACCGCAAAAGAAACGTCACCATGGATAGATATATGAGAAACCTTACATGTCCAAACACTGTAAACATACTTTGAGACATATTAAAATGATGTAACTTGGCAAAACTGATCATCAAGGTTGAAATTAAAATGTCAAATGTTCTTAAAATGAAACACAACACTAGTCTCTGAGAAAATGGCATCAGTATCTCGTGTGTCTGCCACGTGCATTGATGACTGCGGTGCAACGTCGATACATGGAATGGATGAGGCGGTTGATGAAGGCCATAGGCACATGAGCCCACACTCTGAGGAAGGCCTGATACAGTTCAGCTGCAGTTGTCGGCCTTGGTCGGACGTCATTCAGCCGTCTTGAATCTCGTCCCACAGGTGCGCAATGGGATTTAAATCGGTGCTGAGGGCAGGCCACTGAATGGTTCTGATGTCATTCTGCTGGAGGAAGTCTCTTGTTGCTCTCGCAATGTGGGCACGGGCGTTATCATGCTGAAACTCGTGGTTGCGGCGACGTGCCAAATGAGGTATGGAGTGTGGTCTCAAGATTTGATCAATGTACCGAGGTGCTGTGACACCATTGCCTCTCCCTGGACCGATGTTCTGGAAGACCACATGGCCGACCCTCTGTGTAAGACCAATTCCACCCCACACCATGATGCTCTGACCACCCCACGAGTCTCTCTCAACAACACAAGCATCCGAATAACGTTCCCCACGGCGTCGCCGGACTCTCTCTCTCTCTGCCATCTGCAGTTGAAATACAGTAACGGCTCTCGTCTGAGAAGAGGACTCTTCTCCACTGCTGGTGGCGCCAATGCTGGTGCTGTGTTGCCCACTGAGGACGGTCCCGGCGATGACGTGGTGTCAGAATGGGTCCTCGGTGTGGCCTGTGACAGTTGAGGTGCCTGCTCGTCAATCGTCGACGCACGGTGTCCGCACTACTGTGTCGAGCAGCAGTTTCCGCAGCAGTAACAAAACGATCATGAAGATGCTGTCGCACAATCTGACGATCCTGACGTCGGGTAGGGCCCCTTGGTCTTCCACTACGTGGTCGGTCATCTGTAGTGTTTGTGGCTGGAGCCTGTATATTGTCCTTGAAATGCATTGGCTACTTGCTGGGCTGTTTGTCCAGGTTGCAATCGTCCAAGGGCTTGGTGTCGCTGATTTCTTGTCAATCTTGGCATGTTGTAGCAATTCAATAACGAATGAATGTTATCCTATCTGGATGGATTTTTATAGGGCAAGAAATGGGGGAACGCATGTGCATTTCAATTTGCACGGAACTCACATGCATCGGGTTACCATGGCCGTTTTCGTGATGCGTCTGGGCGATCGGTTTTATTGTCATCTACTTTGGTTTTTTTAATCACCAAATTTAATTTTCCGGACAAGGTAATGTTAAATTTTAGAAACTTTGACAAAAATTACCCAGATATTTAAATGACAACTTTTCATGCAATGTTACTTAGGGTGACGTTTCTTTTGCGGTTCAGTATATATAATTCGGATTGCGGAAGAGATTTTATATTGGCATAATGCACTGAAAAAGTAGAACTCCAAACTGTGGACCATGTTTGGAAATATATATATCTTCTAAATGCAGACAAAAACATGTTCTTATCACCAACATCTTGGTAGAACCACACATACGCAAAGCCGTTATTAAATAACATTTGTCTCACAGACGATGCCCAATTGACTTTACCAGTCTCGTCTTATACTTTCAGCATAACATACGTTTGTCGTATGGGATAGTGATGTAAGCTAAAAGTGACAGATTCAAACTTGATTTTTTCTGACATTGCATTTTCTAATCCACATGGAACTAATTCCAGTCTGCGATTATAAAGAAGTCTTTTCTTCCATACTTGTATTTAGATTTACGGGTAATCTTTCAAACAGGGATATAATAAGTTATGTTATTTGAGGCCTTGTAAGTGAGAACACTAACATGCATTTCATGTTGGCGGGGTGAGGTTTAACGTCGTTCGTGATTACTGCACTTATATAGCAGTGTCCGCTCACCACGTGTGAGTGTGGCTGCTTGTACTAGTCCGGCCTAATATCCGGTTTTATGTATTGGAGAAAACATGCTCAGGAGGTTTTGGTAGACAGAGCATGCCCTGGGGAGAGGGAAAAACCAAGGAGGCGAAGCCCCCGCGGTTTTTCCCGAGGGAAAGTGTATTTCAATGCTTATAAACCGAAAAAAGAAACTTAAAACAACATTTATCAACATTTTTATGTTTCGAACATATGTTCCATGAACCTTAGGAAACGCGCGTAAAATATCTGTTGCTGGCGTACGGATCTTGAAAAGGACATTCTAAAAACCAGTGTAGCTTATTAACACCTATGTAGCCTCGTGGTACACTCACTGGGCTACAGATATGAAAGTTGCGAGTGAGATCCTCGGGAATATAAAGAAAACATTTGTCATTTGATTTTACATTTCATTACATGTTACAATCTGAACGGAAGTTACATTAATAAAATCCCAGGGACATTACAACGTCCCTGTTTATGAGATTTAACCCGACTGGAAAGTAAAACCTCACAATAGGTTTTGATGCCTATAGAAAGAAGTCTCTTACTTAATAGCGATCCCAATGAATAGGTTTTATAGTGCTAACCCACTGAGATACCATGCCGCAGTTTAACACTGATACCCACTCAGACACAGTAAACTGGCTGACCAGTCCTTGTTTTACCCCTTAATGACGAGCGCCAGGCGGGTAACAACAAGTACCATCGTTTAACGTTTTAAGGTACCACGGGGCCGAGGATTGAACTATTGACCATCCGCTCTCCGGGGCAGAATAGGTCCTCTCCAATTCTGTTTTCTCAAATATCACCCAAGGCTTGATTGTGGTATGCATTTTATTAGATTATAGAAAAATACATTGAACCCCCGTTAATCCAAACGGTGATGTTCACATTGAAATCGTCCGGATGAAAGTAAAACCGGATCAACGAATCATTGGTAGGGAGTAATGACTATGTCTTCGAGGAAGAACGAGAGTAAACTGTACATTGGTTTCTGTGCCGGGCTGATTACTGTCACCCGAAAATCATACTCTTGTCGTTCACCGAGACCTCACACAGAGAGAGGGCGCCACCGATGGTGTTTCTACCCAGTTTGATCTTCAAGTACCGGCCGGTGATTGGCTTCTGACAAGTCATGGTCACCACTTGACCTTGACCTACGGAGCTTGGGTAAGTGGTACAAAGGTGAGGGGTCACGTCGGCACAGATTGACGGGAATTCTTTGTATACCGTCACGGTCATATTGCGCAGCCACACATCTAATGGTGAGAAAATGAAAATGACAAAATCATAAATGAAAATATACAAGAAGTATATTGAAATAAATAAGGTCATCCACTACAGTTGATTTAAAAAGGCGGATCACTGAACATTTCCCGAACACGGATTCTGATGTCTTTTGTCACTTGATGTTCAAACTATTCCTTATATACTCTTCGCTATACTCCATTCGTTACTATCTGATCCATTGCAGAGTTACGTCCCTTATCAGTTCCAGGATCCACTGATTGTGGGTTAAAGTACTGTAAAATTATTGACCCTAGTAATCATAATCAACGTACAATCTACCAGTCGTATAGTGTACTACTCAAAACCAGTTAAAGAAGATTCGAGTCAAGCCAATGGTTTGTCCCTTTTCTTCAAGCCAGGATATGGCGGTTCCCCCGTTTCTTGTAATATGAAAGAATCGGGTGTTCTTTAACTTCTTTTGATTAGTATTCCTTGATTGCTCTGTATTTGTTCTACACACAGAGATCTGTAGTACTACACACAGAGATCTGTAGTAGCGTACTCACATTTCTCGTCGTTCCTGTTGCGGATGTAGATTATGTGGACGGCCACCATCTTCCCAAGATCGATCTGCCACCAGGGGTCGCTGTCTATAGAATCCGCCATTGTCTGAGAACAGGTACTTTTATCCCCATCATTTGCCATTTCCGGTGCGGTCTGCGCAGACTCCATGGAACTCTGGATGACCTGCTTGGCGCTCGTAATGCCGATCAGCTGACCTTAATGAAATATTAGAAATCTACTTGAGAAAATTACAGTCACTCTCTTCTTAACAGTGTGACGGAACACAAAGTAGTGGAGCCATTGCAACTATCGCACGTCTGTGTTAATGTACGGAAGCGTTCCTAAACCGATCTCGCCTCTGCGACTATCGTACGTCTGTGTTAAAGTCTGGAAGCGTTCCTGGACCGATCTCGTCGCTACGACTATCGCACGTCTGTGTTAAAGTCTGGAAGCGTTCCTGAACCGATGTCGTCGCTACGACTATCGCACGTCTGTGTTAAAGTCTGGAAGCGGTCCTAAATCGATCCCGTCGCTACGACTATCGCACGTCTGTGTTAAAGTCTGGAAGCGGTCCTAAATCGATCCCGTCGCTACGACTATCGCACGTCTGTGTTAAAGTCTGGAAGCGTTCCTGGACCGATCTCGTCGCTACGACTATCGCACGTCTGTGTTAAAGTCTGGAAGCGTTCCTGGACCGATCTCGTCGCTACGACTATCGCACGTCTGTGTTAAAGTATGGAAGCGTTCCTAATCCAATCTCGTCGCTACGACTATCGCACGTCTGTGTTAAAGTATGGACGCGTTCCTTAACCGATCTCGCCTCTGCGACTATCGCACGTCTGTGTTAAAGTACGATCGTACCGCTACGACTTTTTGTGGAACAAGCCCCATGGGGTTTTCATGTATCAAATTATCACAGAGATTATTGGAATGTTCCTTCAGTGATCTTGGTGCTACGAATGCCTTATGTCTATGTTAAACTATGGAATATACGATAGTCAAACCGCTACGACCGCTTGTGATACGATGACCATTGTGACAGGGACCAGTTCCTAAAGCGATCTTAACACAACGACTGTCGTAAGTACGGAAGCCTTTTAGGGCCATGTAAAAAGAAATTCATATCCCTATTATCTGGAAAATTCCACTTAGTATCTGGAAATTTCCACTTAGTATCTGGAAAGTTCCACTTAGTATCTGGAAATTTCCACTTAGTATCTGGTTTGAGTCTCATTTGCTCACCGCGCGGTAGGGAAGCCTAGTGGTTAAAGCGTTCGCTCGTCACGCAGAAGACCCGGGTTCGATTCCCCACATGGGTACAATGTGTGAAGCCCATTTCTGGTGTTGCCGTCTGAATATTGCTGGAATATTGCTGAAAGCGGCGTAAAACCATACTCACTCACTCACTTGCTTACCCCTGAATACCGGATACTAACACAAATCACACACACACAAATTATGAGTAAAGCGTGCAATTACAAGTAAAATTGCTTTAAAAATATCGGAAAAAATAAACATATAAAGAACATTTTTTTAAAATGAGTTCCTAAGTCCCGAAAACCTTCTTAATACTAGTAGACCCCTGAATCCCGCGTACCAAAAGGTGTTTGACAGTCTTATGTAGCAGTGTTCGCCCATCGATCCCTTTCGGACATAGGACTCTAGGCCGCATTTTGTTATGGAAAACTTTGACATAAAAAATGAACAAGTTCACTGTCGTTTCTTTTCTGATTTTTCTAAGGACAATACTGTCGTCAATCGATGTCTTCATTGATTTGAGATTCCAATCGACAACATACCTTTGACAACTGCCTCGCAGATCGTGAGGACCGCTGGAGTCTTTTTCACAATAGTGATCTTGACATACAGAGCCTGAATGGTGAAGTTGCATTTGATCAGCACTGTAGCCGCTCTGCCGACCGTCCCCGTGTAGTGGAAACACTTGGTAGCTGCCTCATCCGGTGAAGTCGTCGGGTCGTTCATGTACGTTTCAATCACGAAGTTGGACAATCTACGGTCTGAGAGGGTATAAGTTTACAGTGAGTAATCACGCTTGGCGGTTTCGAATATATCGGGGAAATTAGGTAGCATTGTGGTTACAGTGTTAAACAGTTATGCTGAAGGCCGGGTTCGATTCCCCACAATAATTTCAATGTGTGAACCAAATTCTTGGTGTATGGCTTGAATAGGGGGTTAAATATTCATATAAAGTATCGGGGCAAAAGAAAGTATACACTTGAAAATCAAAACATTACTAGGTTGAAAACGCTGATCACTTTAGGTAAAAAATAACATCTGTGGTACCCTTATCAAATTATACTAGTGAGTGAATGAGTATGGGTTTACGCCGCTTTTAGCAATATTCCAGCAATATCACGACGGGGGACACCAGAAATGGGCTTCACACATTGTACCCATGTTGGGAATCGAACCCGGGTCTTCGGCGTGACGAGCGAACGCTTTAACCACTAGACTACCCCACCGCCCCAAATTATACCAGTACATTGCCGTCGAATTACTATTTCTTGTTTGTTTCATTTCTAGCCACCATCAAACATTGATATATATTCTTTCACTCATTGGAGCGGTCGGGTAGCCTAGTGGTTAAAGCGTTCGCTCGTCACGCCGAAGACCCGGGTTCGATTCCCGACATGGGTACAATGTGTGAAGCCCATTTCTGGTGTCCCCCGCCGTGATATTGCTGGAATATTGCTAAAAGCGGCGTAAAACCATACTCACTCACTCACTCACTCTTTCACTCATTCTTTAACACATGACCAGTACTTTAGCCAAGTAACGTTGTGAAACGTTAGTAATATTTTGGTCAAATATAAGTAAGCATATACCTACTTTTGCCCGGCAGTTTACATGTCGATGTTCTGTGCCATATTCGGGTGAGCTAAAATTTGATCCGATCTAAACAAAAATGTTAACCCGCAGCATGAATGTATTGCATAAGCTGTTTTAAAAAGCTATTGATGGCCATGTGTATGAAGGATACCTCTTATAATATCAATCTTCAAACTTGGTTCCGTCTATACTCACCACAGCAGTCTCCTCTATTGGTGAGCTCCACCCCCGTGATGTTGCTAATTCCTTGCAGCTTCAGCAACAGCCAGGGGTTCATCTCCGAGTTGGTGTGAGAACATCCCCGGTTTCCCCAGCGGGGACTCTTGTTGCCGTCCACGGCCCTGCTGGGAACGCCACCCCACCCCACCGAGCTCGCCGTCGCCGTCGTCACCTTCACGGAACCCTTGTCTGGAAACAAGAATAAGTGGACGCCATCGCTAAATCAAGTATTTTTGAAAAATAAAACTCTATCGCTAAATTCAAGAACATATTTTTTAGAAACAGTGAATCCACGTTGATCAGGACGGAACCGCTCCAAGTGATATTGTCGGTCACTCACTTACCTAGTCCTCGGTGTTAAACCCAAATCACTCACTCACCCACTCCTCGGCGTTAAACCCAAATCACTCACCCATGCACTTGCCCATACCTCGGTGTTAAAACTCACTCACTCACTCACTTACCCAGTCATCAGTGTAAAACCCAACTCACTCATCTATCCAGTCCTCGGCGTTAAACCCAACTCACTCATCTACCCAGTCCTCGGCGTTAAACCCAACTCACTCATCTATCCAGTCCTCGGTGTTAAACCCAACTCACTCATCTACCAAGTCCTCGGTGTTAAACCCAACTCACTCATCTACCCAGTCCTCGGCGTTAAACCCAACTCACCCCCCTTATTTACCCAGTCCTCGGCGTTAAACCCAACTCACTCATTTACCCAGTCCTCGGCGTTAACCCCAACTCACTCATCTACCCAGTCCTCGGCGTTAAACCCAACTCACTCATCTACCCAGTCCTCGGTGTTAAACCCAACTCACTCATCTACCCAGTCCTCGGCGTTAAACCCAACTCACCCCCCTTATTTACCCAGTCATCAGTGTAAAACCCAACTCACTCATCTATCCAGTCCTCGGCGTTAAACCCAACTCACTCATCTACCCAGTCCTCGGTGTTAAACCCAACTCACTCATCTACCCAGTCCTTGGTGTTAACCCCAACTCACTCATCTACCCAGTCCTCGGCGTTAAACCCAATTCACTCATCTACCCAGTCCTCGGCGTTAACCCCAACTCACTCATCTACCCAGTCCTCGGCGTTAAACCCAACTCACTCATCTACCCAGTCCTCGGCGTTCCACTGACGTACCTGGTGCCCTGTACACGTGTTTCCACATGCCGTATAACATGAGTGCCTGTTGATCCAGCACAGAACATCGGTCTCCCTCGCGCAAAACGGTCTGGTTCACCCCGACGCCAGGTCGCCTAGCAACCTCAGCTCTAAGGTCCTCCATCTGTTTCTCCAACCCTCTTTTGTTCATCTTCTCGATTTCATCCGTCTTCCGTTTAATGGCCACAATGTCCTTCATCTCGGCGTCTAATCCGTTCTTCAGCTTCAGCTCTACTTCCCCCAACCTAGTCTTTACCTCAGCATCAGAACGTTCCATTTTCAGTTTCAGGTTGGATATCCACTCATTTGCTTCCTTCAGTCCCGAAACCGCCCTGCCGCAAGACGCTTTCAACTCGTCGAGTTCTTTCAGAGCGGAAGTCGTCTGCTTCGTCTGATTATTCAAATCAATCTCGAGCAGGGCGACCTTGGCGATGAGTGTCTCCACGATATGTTGCATGCTTGAATTGGACAACTGTAAGTCTCCTTCACCAACAGTGGTCACCAAGGTTTTCAGCAAGCCCACGAGTGACTTCTGTTCTTTGCTAGACAACGTCTTCCAGTTGACGTTCTCTTCATCCAACCTTGACCTTATGCCATTCGCGTTCAGATCACCATCTGCCAACAGATCATCCAAGTCTTCCAAACTCCCAGGATTAGAAAGAACCATCAGCTCGCCATTCTTATCTCGTTCCCTCGTGTTCAGTCTGTAGTTTGGAATATCCTTCTTTTCATTCTTGACCTCAGCACAACCAAGGTGGAAAATCACCAGCAGTATCCAGAGTGTGTTCAGGCGCCCTTCCACCATCTTGAACGTTCAGCGAATGCAAGGTTGGTGGGAACGATTTGGGTTTTTGCTTGAACATTCTCATATATTTTATCGCCGGATCTGGACCATTGTTTGACGGTGACGGTCGTCAAAGTATTGAGATGTATAGCGTTGCCTTTGATTCATGGAACAATTATTATCATCACATCGTGTTTCCCTTCGGGTGTAATAATACACGCGGCCAAGGTCATGATCTGGAGGTCATTTATCACAATTTGTATTTACATTTGAAATAAACGAAATTCATCATCTTTTAAAATTCTTAATAATAATAATAATAATAATAATAATAATAATAATAATAATAATAATAATAATAATAATGTTTTCTGGTCGCATTTTTGTCAAAACGTGAGTAAGTGAGTGGGTGATGACGGATTAACGCCGAACGGTATTCCAGTTATATCACGGCACGTCATGTGGGAGGAAAGTCCGAAGTGATGCAAGTCTCAGATGTTTGCCACACTGGTGAAACCAACGAGCACGAGTATGATGCAGAGAAAACCTCGAAGTTAACCTTATCAGGGTGAATCAGGATTCGATCCGATAGGTTTCAGGCACACGCCTAATGGACGTAACTCTGCACAGCATATTAGTGAGTGAGTGAGTGGGTGAGTGAGTTTGGTTTTACGACGCTTTTAACATTATTACAGTTATATCACGGCGTGTCAGCTTAATGTGGGAAAAAATTCCGAAGTGATGCAGATCTCAGACGTTTACCACTTTGGTGAAACCCACGAGCACGGGTATGATGCTGACAAACTTTGAAACATAATCGGGGCGAACCATAGGTTTTTGGCGTGCCCAAGGGACGCAACTCTGCACAGCGAATCACGGCGCCTTAGACGACTGGGCCATCCGTGCCCCACAGCATATTAGACCATTCGAATAGCTTGCAGGTTACGGAACGGGGGGAGTGGTGGCGGGTGCATATTAGACGAATGCCGGTCTGGATTAATACTGCTATGCGGCGTCAGGTAGCAGGCAAACACTTGCTTTTGCCCTACCTTTATACAGTACCACAAACTTTTCAAACTGGTCACAATACCCTATGAGGTAATTTGTAGTGTTTTGTTGCCAGTCACACTGGCGAAACAATGCCTTGTGACGTCAGGGGTCATCGACTGTGCATAAGCTCCTCTCAGTGATCTATCATCTCCACAAGTAATGTCGTTGCATAAGCCCAACGATGTTGAGAGTTTTGAATATTTGGTTTACTTAATATAGCCTGCGGCGGCGCATTTTATAGCAAGCGCTAGTTTATGAAAGCACTTTTATTTTCAATATATTTTTAATTTCGTTTTTTCCTTAATTAAAATAGCAAAAATGATTGTACATGGGAACTAATATACATATATTATGTTTTCGATTCATTATTGTTCAATAATATGCACAGGAATGCAGTGTTTTAGTTATATTATATTGGCGCTGAAAACATCCAAATCTCGCCGGTACTCATTAACAGGTAAGTGCTGAATGGTAGATAAGTGCTCAATGACAGGTAAGTGCTCATTGACAGGTAAGTTCTCAATGGTAGATAATTGCTCAGTGGTAGGTAAGTGCTGGATGGTAGGTAAGTGCTCACTGACAGGTAGGTGCTCAATATTTCGTAGCTACAAGTGACTACAATAACAGAAATACGACACACACACAGTTTGAATCCTAGGAAGAAGATTAAAAGTGGATGCACAAACAGTAACGTGCCTAGTGAACGCTGCAGCCAGAGTACTCGTACTCTCTCTCTCTCTCTCATTCTCTCTTTGAGCTGCGTTTCAGTGACACCTTTAATACTCTGTCACCTCAGTGTAAAAATACTGCAATATAAAGCAATACAAGTCGCAGAATTGTACCATTTTGATGAAAAACATACGACGGATATGGAGCTCAGAGTCTGGTATTCGAACCCATGACCACTAAGGGGCGTAGGGTTACGGCAACTCATTGGCCGATCTAACTGGATTATAGACTTACATGAAGTCACACAGCCCAGCCAGGAAAAATGAACATGAAAACCTTGTTGACTGCGTAGGCATGTGATAAGATCTTTCTCAACCTGAAGGTGAACGTTGGGACGTGTAGTATTTGGGTTAAGTGACAGTTTGGAACAATGCCGACGCTGATTGCATTAATCAATGTCAAAGTACAAGGTTAATGAAACACAAGGACCGTAGAAGTTATGCACAGCAGAGTGGTTTCTAGGTTTATAAACTGATAAAAAAAGGGACCATAGAAATAATTTAAATGAATGTGAGTTAGTTGGGTTTAACGCCGCTTTTAACAGTATTCCAGTTATGCAGATCTGAGACGTTTACCATTCCGGTGAAACCTCACGAGCACGGGTATGGTGCTGACAAACCTAGAAACATAATCGGGGCGAACCGGGATTCGAACCCAAAATCATAGGTTTCTGGCGTGCCCAAGGGACGCAACTCTGCACACCGAATCGCGGCGCCTTAGACGACTGGAGCACCCGTGCCCAATGAAATGAATGTGTTTTGTTTGTCTTGTTTGTTGTTTAACGCCGCACTCAGCAATATTCCAGCTATATGACGGCTGTCTGTAAATAATCGAGTCTGGACCATACAATTCAATGATTGATATCATGAGCATAGATCCACGCAATTGGGATCAATGACATGCATCAACCAAGTCAGCGAGCGTGACCACCCAATCCATTTAGTCTCCTCTTTCGACGTAGGTTGCCGTGGACCTGTATTCGTACCTGTAATCACCACGGGAAAAACAAATGTGAATTAATTTTTGCTTCAATTTGTTTCAATGGCAGCACAAGTCAGTGAGTGAAATCACGCGTTGAACATGAACGGGGAATGGGTTGTCATCAGGTAAACAAGTTTTACATTCTTGGAGTCTTATCAGTTGTTCCATATCTTTATTGGATAACTACTGACAGACCGTGGACCTAAAGCACATCTGCGTGGGTGGAAGATATACAGACACCATCATAATTGTTTATATCACGTGTCTTATAATTCCATAACTTAAGACCGCCTCCGTGGTCTAGTGGGAGAGCGTCCGCCCGGAGAGCGGAAGGTCCGGGGTTCGATCCCCGGCCGCGTCATACCAAGAGAGAGGCGATCGGGTAGCCCAGTGGTTAAAGCGTTCGCTCGTCACGCCGAAGACCCGGGTTCGATTCCCGACATGGGTACATTGTGTGAAGCTCATTTCTGGTGTCCCTCGCCGTGAGATTCCTGGAAATATTGCTAAAAGCGGCGTAAAATCAAACTCACTCACTCATACCAAAAGACGTTAAAAGATTGTACTTGTTGTTACCCTGTCTGGCGCTCGGCATTAAGGGTTGAAAACAAGGACTGGTCGGCTCGGAGTCAGTGTGCTGGGTCTGAGTGGGGTATTCATGTTCAACTGCGGCATGGTATCTCAATGAGCTAGCACTATAAATCGGCATCAGTCCGGACTAGTACAAGCAGCCACACGCGTTAGTAACGTACACATTTCACATCCCTTCAGGACTTTGATATATCTACTTCCTGTTTCAATATTCAGTACATGCGATGAGCAGGTAAGTCTTGAAAAAACAATAATAATACCAGTGCTTTCAAAAGATATTATTCAGAAATGACCTGTTTTAAACATGCTAAAATAATGACATTTTGGCGATAATGCCATGTAAGATTGGCATTGTTGCATAAACATATCGTCGAATCTTTCAGTACAAATGACAATCTACGTTTTGACTATATGTAGAGCCAAATCCTCGCTTGTTGATCAGCATTTTCACAGACGAAATCCAGTTATGTTTTTCATTGTCAAACAAAGACATCATGTCATAACATTTGGAGATTTATCATTTAGCATAAATATTATCAGTCGGTATTGTAAAACTTTATTTGTTCTTATAGACATAACGGAAGTCAGCGCAAGATGTATACTGTGACATTGTGAAAAAGCAAAATCAGATTTAACTCGAAATCAGAAAAGATGTGTTAAGTCCATCTCAAAACACACTGAATGAGATTCGAACACGAACGATGACATTATGTTTGATTATGTCATGCCTAAATATCCTGAGCAACTTAATTTGATTTGTGTGGCTATCTTGCTAAACTATAAAAAAGGAGAAAAATGCGTTTTCAAAGTATTTCAGTATATTTAGATTTGTCATGCATCGTGTCTCACAACTCATGACTCGTCTTTCAGTGAGTGACTCAACGTGCAAGAGATTGAAGGGGAGGTAACTCTAATTAAAAGCTCTGCATACAATGTTTCCCCGTATAATCAATTGCTACACACGCCACTTCAAACACGGGGGTCGTATCTGGGTGTGTTTATTTCAGTTCTTGCGTCTATCGAATCTATCGATGTCAGCTATTGGTATTTGACATGGCATCGATGCATTGCCACGATTGATTTCAATACATCAATAGTTCGATCACTCACATAATCTCTATTACACGCAGGTCGGGTAATGCTGACACTGCTGACAGCCGTTCACCGTTAAGTTTCAATATTTACATATTTCACGTGTTCACGCTGACCTGGTCAGAGGTCACCTGTATCGATAATGAAATTAAAGCCCACAGACTTGTTACCTTTTTCCAAATTTCGACATTTGAAACTTAGACATTGTAATCATCAACAGATACACTGTCGGACAAAAGAAAGTATACACTTGTAAAAGTAAATTTGTATTTGTATTGTATTTGACCAAAACATTACAAACATTATCAATACGTTCCTAGGCTGAAAACAGTCGCCGAAACACAGCAAACTTAAGGTCCAAAACACAACTATGATACCCGTATCAAACACATCAATATCGAATAATTATTTCTTGCTTGTGTTGTTTTTAGTTATAGCCACTTTCAAACACAGGTGTATACTTTCTTTTGTCTAACAGTTTTATTAAAACATATTATCAAAATTTAGTTAGGTTACAGAAAGTAGTGTCTGAACGACTTGAATAAAATTACTAGGACTGCCACTGTCAATGTTTGCATTATGAATTAACATGTTTAATAAAATATGCTAAA